CCTTTACAGTGGTTGTTGTTGTTGTTAACTGCTGTTGAATTGGTTCCGACTCATAGCAACCTGTATAGGGTTTCCAAGGAGCGATTAGTGAGCTAGAACTGCTGACTTTGCGGTTCAAACAGAACTTGCAGTCCAGTGCATTAACCCATGGCACTAACCAGGACTCCTGTACAATGGTAGCAAATATCATAATGTCAACAGCCAATTATAAATCACTTTCCATGTTCCAGGCAATTTCCATGTCATTTCATTGTTATTATCTATGAGATGAAAATATTTAATGTCAATGTTGTGGTTGCTAAGTGCTGTTGAGTCAGTTCCAACTCATAGCGACGCTGTGTAGGGTTTCTGAGAAGCAGCTGGTGGATTTGAGCTGCCGAACTTGTGGTTCACAGTCTAGTGCGATCCTATAGTTAACAAATAGTTTATGATGATGATATTTGTTTGATAATTTACAGTTTTCATATCCTATATTTTATATCACCTTCAAAAAGTCTTGAAGTATAAGGGGACTATATTTAGAGAGTAAGGCCTTAAGTGGGGTGCTGGTGACTCTGTAGGGTCAGTGTTGGACCACTAATCACAAGGTCAGCAATTCAAATCCACCAGCCACTCTGTGGGAGAAAGAAGAGGCATTCTACTCCCGTGAAGATTTACAGCATTGGAAACCCTATACAGGGTTGCTATGAGTTGAAACTGACTTGATGGCACCTAACAACAAGACCTTAAGTAGCTTGTTCAAGGCCATATAACAAGTACTGGTAAAAATCAGAACTGGAGCCACATTGCCTTCCTCCTGGTTCATTTTCCTAGCCCTTCCTAGGTCCTTTACCTCTAAGTACCCTGGATGCTCAAATAGGTGATATTATCTCTGAATTTGCATTGGAGTACTGCAAGAGCTGAATTAAAAAGTCAAAAAAATTTTAGTGGGGATACCTCTGGCCTACTACATATGTAGTTTCCTTTTTTTTTTTTTTTTTTTTTGTAGTTTCAAAATTTTGTAAATTCAAGTATTCCTTGTCCACAGACTACTTTTTTGTTAAATTTCTTATGGGGCAGAACCTGACTTCACTATCTCCAAAAAGTTACAGTGTAATTGTATCAATGGGACAGGTCATGATGATGACACACCCCAGTCCAAGTCTCTAGTGTGTTAGCTAACCAGGAATGGTGTGTGAGCTTCGAGTAGAGCCAGCCAAGTTAAGGCACATAAGTCATTTCTGGTGGCTCTGACCCTCATGTGACTGTTCAGGGCAACTGGGTACATTTATTACTAGAGCTGCTACATTAAGAATAAGGTTTTGCTACTGTTATTTATAGTAGTTCTGTTAGCGTAGTAGTTACGAACCGGGCTGGGAACTTTAAGTTCGAAACTACCAGCTGTTCTGCAGGAGAAAGATGAGGCTTTCTGCTCCCATAAAGATTTACAGCCTTAGAAATCCTGTACAGGGTCGCTATGAGTTGGAACAACTCCACGACACATAACTACCACCACCACTGTTGCTTATAAGGGTCACTACGAGTCGGAACCGAGTTGACATACTTAACAACAGAGTCCTGGTGTGGCAATATGGGTAAATACGCTGGACTACAAGGTCACCAGCCACTCCTTGGAAATTCTATACAGGGTCGCTATGGGTCAGAACTGAACTAGAACATACTTGACAATAACATCAACAATAACTGTTATTCATAAGGAGCCCTGGAGGCATAGTAGATTATGAGCTGGACTGCTAAACATTAGCAAGATCAATAGTTCGAATCTACCAGTCACTCCACAAGAAAAAGATGAGGCTTTTTGCTCCCATAAAGATTCATAGTCTCAGAAAACCTTTACAGGGTTTCTATGATTCAGAATTGACTCGGTGGCACACAACCACCACCACTGCCATTCAATCAAAAAGCATTTCTTGAGCATATATTTTATAACCAGCATAAATAAGACCTAGTCGCTTTTACTTCCAAAGAGCTCACAATCAAGTTAAGTAAAAATATAATATACAGAGTTGTGATAATAAACACTTGTGTGGCTAGACCACACTGACAAATGGTATAAGTATAGAATACACATTGAATTTCAAATATCCTATATTTGTTATCAACTTACTATGAAAAAGAATATAAAAGATCTCAATAACAATTCTTTATATTTGCTACCTGTTGAAATGATAGTATTTGACATATATTGGGTTAGATTAAAAATATTATTAATTGAACTTGACCTGTTTCTTTTTATCTATTTAATGTGATTATCAGAAAAATTTAAATGATATATGTGGTTTGCATTATAGTTCTATAGACTAACATTGGTCCAGAAATATGAAAACACCTCATTATTATTGGAAATTCATACCCTATATTGTAAAGTAAGAGAAAGGAAACAAAATAGTGGCCAAATGATTTGGCCATTTAAAAACTGAATAAATGTCTTTATCTCAACAACGATTTTAGCTATTTGGGAAATAACAAGGAATAAGACATGATTTCTGTTCTCAGAGACAAGAGGTACCTGGATGGTGAATCCCACTAATTCTCATGGTCAAGAACAAGGTAATAATATATTTGGGGCCTTCCTAAACTGCACAGCCACCTGGCTCCAGGTATCTAGTTCTGCATGCCCACTTCCTCCCACTTTCTGTGCCTTAGATTCCCTAGTAGATAGAAGAAGTATATATAGAAACACAAGATGACGTGATAACTTCATGCTGGACATGGCTGTTGCCGGTTTCTTCCTGAGCAGTATCTCCCTTTGTACATGGGCTTACTCCCCAGGGTAAGGCTATCAGGAAGACTGACAAGTAGCAGCATTCACATAGACACGTCCTCTACTGTAGACCAGAATGCCATCAACCAAATATTGTCTCCTTCCTCATAGTTCCAAACACCATTAACATATATGAAATTGTTTTAAAAAAGAAGAAAACAGTTCCAAATATTCATGGACCATCTTCATGTGTAGGCTACAATAAGGGAAAAAAGCCATTGCCATTCATTTATGTGGGAAAACATTTTGAGTGTTCCCAGACCCCTAAAATCACCTACCAAAGCATACCAAACAAAACGTGAAGCCTAAAGGCACAGTTCATAGCTGTGGCACCTTGCTGCTGTAGAAGCTGAGTATAGTTCCTGGGACAAGAGCTTGATGATGGTTTCCATGTGGTTTCCATGCTGCTCTTAGGAACACAGCCCTGGAAAGGGCAGAGTGGCCTCCCCATGCAGAAGGAGAAAAGCATCATGACTCTGTAGGACAAGCACTGGATTGTGAACCACAAGATTGGCGGTTGCTCCGTGGCTCCCACAAAGATTTACACCCTTGGAAATTTTATACAGGGTTGCTATGAATAGGGAACTGACTCAATAGCACACAACAATAATGCAGAAGGAATAGGACCGGGCCCTCTGATTCATTCTTGCAAACAGAAAAGTAAAATTGCCAGTTTCATTCTTTACTTCTGTATCTTCCATGGGTTCAAAGTACTGGCTCATAGAAAGAGGGGAGAAAGTCTTCCTTTTTTCCAGGGCCAATTTATATCGCTCTAACTGACTCTCTGGCTACCTAGTGGAGGAGGACTAGAGGTCAGCCAGTCTAGGTGCATGCTCTTCTGAGGACAGACATGAAAGAGAGGCAACATAGTCAAACAGCAACTGAAGCTTCATCCCATGCAAAGTGTGAGCCAACCACTGGTAAAGTCTTTTGATGACAAAAAAGTGTTTTTATGTTTACGTGGTCCCATTTATTTTCTCGTTTATTGTTTGTGCTTTTGTGATTATATTAGATCATCCATTGTTGAAAGCTGGGACTGACAGTGTTGGCCTGCTTGTTCTTTTAAGAATTTTATGGTTTTAGTTTGTACATTTAGCCCTTAATCCATATTGAATTTGTTTTTGTGTATGGTGTGAGATATGCATCCTGTTTCATCTTTCTGCCTGTGGAGATACAATTTTCCTAACACCATTTATTGAAGAGATAGATTTCTTTTGCCATTTAATATACTTCGCACTCTTGTCAAAAATCAGCTGACATTAGAAGTGTGGGTGTATTTCTGAACTCTCAATGCAATTCCATGGGTCTATGTGTCTGTTGTTACATCAGTACTAGACAGTTGTGATTCCCGTGTCTGTGCAGTGTATTTTAAAATCTGAAAGTGAAAGGACACCTAGTTGGTTCTTGTCTTTCTGTACTATTTGGATTTTTTTTTAATTTCCTTGAAAACATTGAATTTTGGAATTCTCACTAACTTGGGCCACAGGGGCCAGTCACGTTAAGTTGGTGTTGCTGGCTTGGGTAAGAAGAAGTGAGAGAGGAAGAAGTCTAGGTCTTCGTCTAAAGAGCCAAAAATGGCAGTTGCTGGCTTAAGCAACGTTGTGGTTTGTCTCACAAACATATACTTTGAGTTGAAATAATTTCTAATATTTAAATACAAAAAGGGAGCAGGGACTGTGTTTTACTTACACACACAGGTTTAACAGCCAAAATGCACAGAGGAACCGAGATTCTCTGTCCCTCAATCTGCACCCTGTGGCCCCGGCTGCCACCGCTCCCACCCCCACACCCCTCCCAGCACACACCAGAGTGCACAGTGCCTGCTTTACAGTACAGCTGGGCTGCACTTCATGTTTCATACTGTGTGCATCCCTCCCAACAGCTCCATTCTGAAACATAAACAAGTTATTAACGGTCATCAGGGGTACATCCTTCTTACTGGTACCAGTTCCCACCTCACAACTCCACAATGGAGGGGGGGTGGTCTTCTAGAACAATGAGGACAGTTTAGGGAGGGGCATGGGTAGTGAATAACCATCTGCACTGCAGCACTCTGATGTCAGAGTGAAGGCAATCAATGTCAGGATGGAGGGGAGGATTAGGTGTGAGCTGGGAGTTAGACAAAGGAGGAAGAATTCTCCCCAGCAATTTTAGATCAATGTGCAATAATCAGCGGTTCAAACACTATTGAATATCAAACTTCTCCCACCAAAGCAGTTCAAAAAACATCAGTAATCTAGATTTTTCCAGGAAATGAAGGTAGAGCCCCTGGCATTCCTCCTGACAATCCTGTGTTGGACTCTGGAAGTATCTGCTGCTGTTGCTCCCTTTGCAACTTCTCCATCTCAAAGACAACAGGAAGAACCAGGATCATAAAGGAAGTGGTCCCAATCCATAAGGCTGCCCTGGAAAACCTGTACATTTTCTGAGCCACAAAAAAGGAGAGATTAACAGTGGCTCCAGACGCTGACCGGACCCTCTCCAGGACCACCTCCGTCAGACCCCGGCATCTCTCCCACAGGGTCTCATCTAGCTCCTCATCGTCATCCTCTTCCAGATCCTCCTCTGTGTTCTTGATGTCTCCTTTCGGGAGCAATTCCTCCGGAGGCACTGGCACCCCAGGCCGGCAGTGACACCAGTGGCTGTGGCTATATTCAGTCTTATTTTAGTTATTGGGGCCTATAAAGTTCAGGATAGGTTTTTCTATTTCTGTAAAGAGGCTGTTTTTAATTTAAAATCCTGAAATTTTAATCTGGATGGCATTGAATCTGTGGATCACTTTGTGTAGTGCATGAATAATAGGTTTTAGAAGGATCAGCACAAGGCCTGTGAGGTAGAGAGGTTAAAGATGCCCCAAGGTCTAACTCTTCCAAAATGCTATACTCCATCCTCTCTGATACCAACGGCTCCTCCTTCCTTCAGTATTCTCCCATGTCTCACGGGACTAATGAACCATACAGGAAATGACTCACACAGTTGTGGAGGCGGGCATGTCCCAAATCCATAGTTTAGGCATCAGTTGGGAGGTTCTCCTCACTCACATGGTTGCAGACACTGATGAACAAGTCAGCTCAAATGAGGGGCTGTGGAGTAGACTCACAAAGCTGTGGAAGCTGGCAGGTAAGGTCAGGCATTTGACTGATGATTCAGGTCAAGATCCAGAACAAGAGAACAAACTTTGCCAAAGTGTTATCACAGTTTCTCCGATCTTGCTTGGTGAGGCTACAGACACAAAGAATGGCAGAAACCACTTACTTGATTGACAAGCAAAGGAGCACACCAGGATTCACCTTGCCAAGATGGCTCCCTGAGTCCTGGGCCAGAGGTCTTTTACTAGGTACTTCTAGGGCAGTACCACCACTCATCTGTCAGTTAGCCATACTGTGGTGGCTTATATGTTGCTGTGATTCTAGAAGCTATGCCACTGGTATAACTTAAATACTAGTAGGGTCACCTATGGTGGATAGGTTTCAGATGAGCTTCCAGACTAAGACAGACTAGGAAGAAGGAAAGACGGATACTTCCAAATATGTAGTCCATGAAAACCTTATGCATAGCAGTGAAACACTATCATAGAGCACCAGAATATTAAATATTGAAGCATGATGAAGAACACCAGAATATTATCAGATAGAGTGTCAGAAGATGGGTCCTTCAGGTTGGAAGGCACTCAAAATACCACTAGGGAAGAGTTACCTCATCCAAGTAGAGTTGACCATGATGAAGTAAAGTGAATGGAGTAAAGCCTTTAAGACCTTCATTTGCTAATGGGGTACAACTCAAAATAAGAAAAAGCAGCTGTAAACATCCATTAATAATTGAAACATGGAATGTACAAAGTATGAATCTAGGAAAATTAGATGTTGTCAGTACTGAAATAGAATGCATAAACATCGATATCCTAGGCATTAGTGAGCTGAACTAGTATGTTATTGGCCATTTTGAATTTGAGAAGCACATGGTTTATTTACTATGTTAGGAATGACAAATTGGAAAGGAATGGCACTGCATTCACCATCAAAAAGAACATTTCAAATCTATCTTGAAGTATGCTGACTGTGATAAAATAATATCCATATGCCTACAAGGAAAACCAATTAATACAACTAGTTTATGTACCAACCACTAAAGCCAGTTATGATGAAGTTGAAGAAGTCTATCAACTTCTCCAGACTGAAATTGATCAAACATGCAATAAGGAGATATTGATAATTAACAGCGATTGTAATGAAAAGGTTGAAAATTGATCAAACATGCAATAAGGCAATATTGATAATTAATAGCGATTGGAATGAAATGGTTGGAAATCAGTTGTTGGAAAATGTGGCCTTGGTGAAAGACACAATGCTGGAGATTGCATGATAGAATTTTGCAAGACCTATTACTTCTTCTTTGCAAATACCTTTTTGAGACCAACGTAAAAGATGACTATACATGTGGACCTCACCAGGTGGGATACAAAGAGATCAAATTGACTATTCCTGAGGAGAGAGACAGTGGAAACATTCCAGTCAAAACAAGGGAAAGGGAAGAGTGTGGAACAGACCATCAATTGCTCTTATGCAAGTTCAGACTGAAGCTGAAAAACATGAAAACAAGTCCACAAGAGCCAACATATGACCTTGAACATATCCCACAAGAATTTATAAACTATCTCAATAACAGAATTAATGAAATAGACACTAATGACGGAGGACCAGAAGAGTTGTGGGGTGACATCAAAAACATCATACAGGAAGAAAGCAAAAGAACATTAAAATGATAAGAAAGAAGAAAAAGACCAAAATGGATGTCACAAGAGACGCTGCAATGCTAAATAAAGGAAGTGGAAGAAATGAGGAGATGAAAGAGCTGAATCAAAATTTCAAAGAGCAGCTCTAGAAGACAAAGTCAAGTATTATAAAAAAATGTGCAGAGACCTGCAGTTAGAAACATAAAAGGGAAGAACACACTCAGTATTTCTCAAACTGAAGGAACTGAAGAAGAAATTCAAGCTTCAACTTGCAATATTGAAGGGTTCTAGGAGTCCTGGTGCGGTGCTGTGGACTAATGCATCAGACTGCAAAGTTGTTTGAACTGCAAGATCGGTGGTTCAAGCTCACCAGCTGCTCCTTGGAAACCCTATACAGGGTTGCTATGGGTCTGAATTGACTTGACGGTACTTAACAACAACAACAATGAGCAAAATATTGAATGATGCCAAAAGCATCAAGGAAAGATGGAAGGAATATACAGAATCCTTCCTGTACCAAAAAGAAATGGTCTATGTTCAATCGATTCAAGAGGTAGCATACGAACAAGCAACAATGGTATGGAAGGAAGAAGATCATAGTGCACTAAAGGCATTGACAAAGATCAAAGCTTTTATACAGAAAAGAAGACCATAGAAAAATTGATGCATTTTATTTTTGGTATTGGAAGAGCACATTAAAAGTATCATAGACTGCCTAAAGAACAAACGAACCTGTGTTAGAGGAAGTACAGCCAGAATGCTCCTTAGAAACCAAGATGGCCAGACTTCATCTCTCATACTTCAAACATATTATCAAGAGGGGCCAATTTCTGGGATACATCATGCTTGGTAAAGTGGAGGATCAGCCGAAAAAGAAGACCCCCAATGAGATGGATTGGCGCAGTGACAGCCATAATAGGAAATGGGGTCGCAAAGATGGCATTTGAGTTACGTCCCAGTTATTGATGGAAGTGTATTTTCAGCTTCATGATATCAAAGTATCAGATCGAGGGCACATTGGACATTACTGTGCATGTTAGGTGGGCCACATCTGGCTTCAGCCAGTTCTTTGACTCCAGCCTACTTCTTTTCTTAATTAAGCAGGAAGCTTGAGGTTTGCCTAATAAGAGAACAGCTTAAAATAGACAGTTAGTTCTTGTTTTATTATGGATATCAACAACGGCAGCTCATTTGCAGCCCATACCTTCAAGGAAACTAAGGGTGGTGACTTGAGTCACACCATCTAGTAAGGTAAAGTGTGGCTACATGTCTCATTAGGAACTCTGGTAGCGTAGTGGTTACGAATCAGGCTGCTAACCTTAGGGTCAGCAGTTGGAAACTACCAGCTGTTCCACGGGAGAAAGATGAGGCTTTCTGTTCCCATAAAGATTTATAGCCTCAGAAACCCTGTACAGGGTCGCTATGAGTCAGAACCGACTCCAAGGCACACAACAACAACAATAACAAGCATGCCACATTAATCCTGTCTTATTAACATAACAGACAAACTCACTCCAAAATGGAACTGTAACCACAGGCCTAGATGGTAGGAATCCCAAAATGGAGGACGTGACTTGTTAGGTGCTGTAGCTCACACACACCTTCTACAGCATTTCCAAGGAGTAGCTGGTGAGTTTGAACCGCTGACCTTTCAGTTCAAGTCGGCCTTGTGGTCCAATACTTATCTTACAGAGCTACACCAGGACCCCTGACTATGACTTTCTTGTTGTTAAGTGCCTTTCCTATGGCTAGAAAGGTCATATTAAGTAATTCACCACACTACAGGTAGTATTGACAGTTTAATATTAAGTCTTCCAATCCATGGAACATTTTCCCATTTATTTAAGTTGTATTTAATCTCTTCCAACCGTGTTTTATAGTTTTCATTATAGGAATCTTTCAAGTCTCTGATAAGATGTAGTCCTTGGTATCTCTTAGATGCTATTATTGTAAATGGAATCGTTTTTCAACTTCCCTTTCAAATTTCTCATTGCTGATATATAGAAACCCAACTGATTTTTGTTTGGTGAACTTGTACCCTGAAACCTTGCTAAAGTCCTTGGTTAGCTCTAGAGGTTTTGCTAAGGATTCTTTGGGATTTTCTACTTATAAAATCATATCATGTGCAAATAGAGATAATTTTACATCTTCTTTTCCAAACTGGTTTTTTTTTTGTTTTTTTTTTCCTTGCCTTGTTGCTCTGACTAGGACTTCTAATCTAGTATTAAATAGAAGTGGCCAGAGTGGGCATTGTTTTATTCTTGATTTTAAGGGGAAATCTTTCTCCTTTAAGGATGTTAGCAGTTGGCTTTTCATATATGCTCTGAATCATAGTGAGGAATTCCCCTTCTATTCCAGTCTTCTTTGGAGTTTTCATCTAGAAAGGGTGTTGGGTTTCATCAAAAGGTTTTTTGTTGTTGTTGTTGTTGTTTTTACATCCATAGAGCTGATCATGTGGTCCTTTCCCTGTGTTCTACTGATGTAGTATGTTAATTGCTTCTATTTATTTACTGCTTTTGCAATGTTGAACCATCCTTGAATTTCTGATATAAATCCCACACAGTAATGATGTATGACTACTGGATTCTGTTCATTAGAATTCTGTTGAGGATTTTTGCATCTCTATTCATAAGAGAGGAGTCCTGGTGTGGCACTGTGGGCTAATGCGTCAGACTGCAAAGTCGTTTGAACTGCAAGGTTGGTGGTTCAAGCTCACCAGCTGCTCCTTGGAAACCTTATACAGGGTCGCTGTGGGTTGGAATAGACTCAACGGCACTTAACAACAACAACAAAAACAGCATTCATAAGAGATATTGGCCTATGTTGTTTTTGTCAGTTGCTGTCGAGTCATTGGAGTGTTCTATGTGTATCTGTTAAGTCTAGTTGGTCTATAGCATCATTCATGTCCTTTGTTTTCTTGTTGAGCT